TTTCATCCCTTTTTTCATTTGTTTTCCATTTGTTTACATCAGTTTTTCATCAGTTTACATCCGGTTTTTCACTTGTTTTTCATCCGTTTACATCCGTTTTTCATCAGTTTACATCCATTTTTTCATTTATTTTTCATTTACATCCGTTTTTCATCCATTTACATCTGTTTACATCTGTTTTTCACCAGTTTACATCCGTTTTTCATCAGTTTTTCTGTGTTTTCATTTGTTTTTCATCCGTTTTTATCAGTTTACATCCGTTTTCATCCGTTTACATCCGTTTTTCATCAGTTTACATCTGTTTTTTTCATTTGTTTTTCATCCATTTTCATTCGTTTACATCTGTTTTTCACCAGTTTACATCTGTTTTTTCATTTGTTTTTCAACCATTTTCATCCGTTTACATCTGTTTTTCATCAGTTTACATCCATTTCTTATATTTGTTTTTCATCCGTTTACATCCATTTTTCATCAGTTTAAATCCATTTTTACATTTGTTTTTCATTCGTTTACATCTGGTTTTCATCCATTTACACCTGTTTACATCCGTTTTCATCTGTTTACATCCATTTTTTTATCAGTTTTTCATCATTTTATGTCCGTTTACATCCATGTTTTGTCCATTCTCGTTTTTTTTTACTTAAGAAAAATAGGCCCCTTTCACACGGGCGTTCCATTTTTTCCATCAGTTTGGTCACGTTTTTTCCAAGCAAAAATGGGTCAGTATTCATCTGTTTTTCATCTGTTTTTCCTTTTTTTTTTCATCCGTTTACATCCATTTTCAGCAGTTTACATCCGTTTTTTCATTTGTTTTTCATCCGTTTCCATCTGTTTTTCAATAGTTTACCTGTTTTTTTCATGTTTTTTTTAATTCGATTAAATCTGTTTTTCATCAGTTTACATCTGTTTTTTGTCTGTTCTGGGTTTTTTTTTTACAAAAGAAAAATAGGCCCCTTTAACACAGGTGTTCCATTTTTTTTTCATCAGTTCGGTCACGTTTTTTCCAGGCAAAATTGGGTCAGTTTACATCTCTTTTTCATCAGTTTACATCAGTTCTTTCATTTGTCATCCGTTTACATCAGTTTTTCCATTTGCTTTTCATCCATTTACAACCGTTACCATCCGTTTTTCATCTGTTTACATCTGTTTTTGTCCGTTCCGTGGTTGTTTACGGAACAAAAATAGGCCCCTTTCCCCCGGGCGTTACGTATGTCCGGTGTTCATCTGTCTGTTAATGGATGAAAAACGGACCTCCATGTATTTCTATGGACTAGCGGATGTAAATGGATGATCATCTGTTTACATTCATTAATGTCCGCATCTGTTAACATCCATTTTTTTGAACGAAAGAAAACCCTATTTTTCTTCCTTTGAAAAAAATGGAACGGATGAAAAACAGATGTAAACAGATGAAAATGGATGAAAAATGGATGAAAACGGATGAAACCAGATGTGAACGAATGAAAATGGATGTAAGCAGATGTAAATGGGTGTAAACGGATGAAAACAGATGAAACAGATGTCTATGGATGGAAACAGATGAAAACGGCTGAAAATGGATGTAAACCAATGAAAATGGATGTAAGCGGATGTAAATGGATGTAAACGGATGAAAACAGATGTAAATGGATGAAAACGGATGTGAACGAATGAAAACGTATGTAAACAAATGAAAATGGATGTAAGCGGATGTAAATGGATGTAAATGGATGAAAAGAGATGTAAATAGATGTAAACGGATGAAAACAGATTTAAATGGATGTAAACGAATGAAAACAGATGTAAATGGATGTAAACGGATTAAAACAGATGAAAATGGGTGTAAATGGATGTAAACGGATGAAAGCGGATGTAAATAAATTAAAAATGGATGCAAATGGATGTAAATGGATGAAAACAGATGTGAACGGATGAAAATGGATGTAAATTGATGAAAACAGATGTAAACAAATGAAAAATGGATGTAAACAGATGTAAACGGACAAAAAAAAGGGATGTAAACAAATGAAAAAATGGATGAAAAATTGATGCGAACTGTCTGAACATGGATCAGACGTTGATCAATAAAACGACCCTCCTATCATATCATTCAGGATCCCCAATATTTTGTATCACCCCCTTCATTCCCTTCTCCCTGGATTCATTCTCCTTGTGTATACAGTTGTGACCAAAATTATTCAACCCCCCAATGCTGTAAAGGGGTTTAGGGACTATAGTGTACATTTGGAATTGTATTCAGAATCAAATCCTACAAGGACGTTTTGTAACTACCCAAATGCAACTAAAATGACATCAATTGTTTATGTAATACAGTAGTATAAATGGTTCTTATGTGGTTTCTTCATTGCCACAATTATTCAACCCCTTAAAGACTACCACTCTGAAGAACAGAGGTTCATACAGGTGCTTTCCATCAGGTATTGAAAACACCTGTGGATGTCACCGAGCAGCAATCAAGCATAATAAGCACCAATTAGGCAGCTTTAAAATGACTGTGATACTCAGCTCCTTCTAGACATTTACTGGTGTGGTTACAAACATGGTGAAGGCAAGAGAATGGTCCAGGAAGACAAGAGAAGAGGTGATTTCTCTTCACAGGAAGGGCAATGGCTATAAGAAGATTGCAAAGATGTTAAACATACCAAGAGACACCTTAGGAAGCATCATTCGCAAATTCAAGGCAAAGGGCACTGTTGAAACGCTACCTGGTCGTGGCAGAGAAAGAAGATGCTGACTTCGACTGCTGTGCGCTACCTGAAGCGTAGAGTGGAGAGAAGTCCCGTGTGACTGCTGAGGAACTGAGAAAAGATTTGTCAGATGTGGGTACAGAAGTTTCAGCCCAGACAATAAGACGCACACTGCGTAATGAAGGCCTCCGTGCCAGAACTCCCAGGCGTACCCCCTTGCTGTCTCCAAAGAATAAGAAGAGTCGACTGCAGTATGCCAAAAGCCTGTGGACAAACCACAAAAGTTGTGGGATAGTGTTCTGTGGACTGATGAAAACAAAATTAGAACTGTTTGGGCCCATGGATCAACGCTATGTTTGGAGGAGGAAGAACAAGGCCTATGATGAAAAGAACACCTTGCCTACTGTGAAGCATGGTGGAGGGTCAATCATGCTTTGGGGCTGTTTTGCTTCTGCAGGTACAGGGAAGCTTCAGCGTGTGCAAGGTACCATGAATTCTCTTCAGTACCAGGAGATATTGGATGGAAACGTGATGCAGTCCGTCACACACCTGAGGCTTGGGAGACGTTGGACCTTTCAACAGGACAATGATCCCAAGCATACCTCCAAGTCCACTAGAGCATGGTTGCAGAGGAAAGGCTGGAACATTTTGGAGTGGCCATCGCAGTCACCAGACTTAAATCCGATTGAGAACCTCTGGTGGGACTTAAAGAAAGCAGTTGCAGTGCGCAAGCCTAAGAATGTGACTGAACTGGAGGCCTTTGCCCATGAAGAATGGGCGAAGATACCCGTAGATCGCTGCAAGACACTTGTGTCAAGCTATGCTTCACGTTTTAAAAGCTGTTATAACTGTAAAAGGATGCTGTACTAAGTACTAAGATTGAATGTCACTTGGGGGTTGAATAAAACTGATAATGCTGTGAGCACAGAAAAGACATTTGTGGTTATTTCATTATAACTGTTATGTTATATTTGTCTGACCTACAAGTGCCTCTTTAATGTAAATGTAAGCAAGATGACTGAATGATCAAAAGCAATGTCAAACTGGCCAAAACACTCAATTTCAGTGGGGGTTGAATAATTTTGGTCACAACTGTAGATGTAACATTGTTGCTCTCATTCATGTGTTTCGCGGTGAACAGACTCCAGACTTCCTCCACACGGGTAACAACCGTAACACAGCCTCACACTCTGCCCCCCCCCCCACCTCCAATGTCCGGGACACGCCCACCGTGTCATGTATGTAACACGTGGCTGTATGAAGCCTCGGATTCCCGGAGAAGTGTGCTGGAAATGAATGCAGCCTTCCCGGCCGCGGTTTGCGCCTTTCCTGCTCGGAGGGATTAAACACGGAAGTCTTCGATTGGGAGAGGAATTGCAGATTGGGATCAGCCGCCACCTACACTGAGCCGATTATGTAAATCCCGGATAATTCCGGCGTTTTTCACAGCAGTCATGTGACCCGCGACGCGTCCGCACTTACCTCTTCATAGTAAGTGGCGGTTTCTCCATCATTGTCACCGTCACATCTCAGATTGCCTGGCGTCATTCCGTCTACATACCTAGAACACAACACGCGTGCAAAGCCTATGTTTAGACTTGGGGGCTAACATTGCCGCCGCTCTGAAAAGTAACCTGTGGTGGATCACTTTTCAGAGGTGTTGGCCTGGCAGTGGGACGGCGATATGCCAGATCCTCTCTAGACATGCGAAACAAACAAACAAACAAAAAATTGTTTTGTTTCAATTTGAAATCTAACATATTTGGTGTGGTTGGATGCGCTAAATTCGTTCGGTTCGCTTTCAGGATTCAATTCGGTAATTTGAATTCTATTTGAATTTAATTCGACCAAATTGGAAAAGCTGTTCGGATTCAAAAAAGAGCATAACCATGGAAATGCTCCACCCCCGAGCTACCACCGCATGCGTTACAAGTGGCCGGGGCAGACTGGGGGCCCCCGGGCAATAGGGGATCATGGGGCCCCTGTGTCCTTGCCCACACCCAAAAAAAGCCTATGAAAGGTACCAGGGGCATCTCATGGGGTCCCCTACTGACCCCGGGCCCTCGGGCAGTGTGGCGCAGCTCCATTCACTGCACTGATCCCAGAGGGGCCAACAGTGACACCTTTACATGCCTTCCATTAAAGCTGACACCCAAAATGGGAGCCACACCCCTACTCCTCCCTTCATCTGCTGATTGGCTGAAGCCTACGCTGTTCCTGCTTTACTGATTACAGGGGGTACCATCCACTATCCGGACGTTTGAGGGGACCGGCCCCACATACACTATATTGCCCAAAGTATTGTCTCCCCCCTCCATATCATGTGATTCAGGTGTTCCAATCCCCTCCATATCATGTGATTCAGGTGTTCCAATCCCCTCCCAATCATGTGATTCAGGTGTTCCATACCCTCCCAATCATGTGATTCAGGTGTTCCAATACCCTCCCAATCATGTGATTCAGGTGATCCAATCCCCTCCCAATTATGTGATTCAGGTGTTCCAATCCCCTCCATATCATGTGATTCAGGTGTTCCCATCCCCTCCATATCATGTGATTCAGGTGTTCCCATCCCGTCCATATCATGTGATTCAGGTGTTCCAATTCCCTCCCAGTCATGTGATTCAGGTATTCCAATCCCCTCCATATCATGTGATTCAGGTGTTCCAATCCCCTCCATATCATGTGATTCAGGTGTTCCAATCCCCCCCCAATCATGTGATTCAGGTGTTCCAATCCCCTCCCAATCATGTGATTCAGGTGTTCCAATTCCCTCCCAGTCATGTGATTCAGGTATTGCAATCCCCTCCATATCATGTGATTCAGGTGTTCCAATCCCCTCCCAATCATGTGATTCGGGTGTTCCAATACCCTCCATATCATGTGATTCAGGTGTTCCAATCCCCTCCCAATCATGTGATTCAGGTGTTCCAATACCCTCCATATCATGTGATTCAGGTGTTCCAATACCCTCCCAATCATATGATTCAGCTGTTCCAATCCCCTCCATATCATGTGATTCAGGTGTTCCAATCCCCTCCCAATCTTGTGATTCAGGTGTTCCAATACCCTCCATATCATGTGATTCAGGTGTTCCAATCCCCTCCCAATCATATGATTCAGCTGTTCCAATCCCCTCATATCATGTGATTCAGGTGTTCCAATCCCCTCCCAATCATGTGATTCAGGTGTTCCAATACTCTCCATATCATGTGATTCAGGTGTTCCAATCCCCTCCCAATCATGTGATTCAGGTGTTCCAATCCCCTCCCTATCATGTGATTCAGGTGCTCCAATCCCCTCCATGGACACAGGTGTATACAATCAAGCCCCTAGGCATGCAGACGGCTTCTACAAACATTGGTGAAAGAATGGGTCGCTCTCAGGAGCTCAGTGACTCCAAGCGTGGTCCCGTGATAGGTGGCCACCTGGGCAATAAGTCCATCCGTGACATTTCCTGGCTACTAAATATTCCACGCTCAACTGTTAGTGGGATTATAACAAAGTGGAAGCCACTGGGAACAACAGCCACTCAGCCACCAAGTGGTAGGCCACGTCACATGACAGGGCGGGGTCAGCGCATGCTGAAGCGCACAGTGCGCAGAAGTCGCCAACTGTCTGCAGAGTCAATAGCTAAAGACCTCCAAACTTGGTGTGGCCTTCAGATGAGCCCAACAACAGTGCGTAGAGAGCTTCATGGAATGGGTTTCCATGGCCGAGCAGCTGCATCCAAGCCTTCCATCACCAAGTGCAATGCAAAGCGTCGGATGCCATGGTGTAAAGCACGCCGCCACTGGACTCTAGAGCAGGGGAGGCGTGTTCTCTGGAGGGACCAATCACGCTTCTCTGGCAATCCGATGGACGTGTCTGGGTTTGGCGGTGGCCAGGAGAACGGTACTTGCCTGACTGCATTGTGCCAAGTGTAAAGTTTGGTGGAGGGGGGATTATGGTGGGTGGTTGTTTTTCAGGGGTTGGGCTTGGCCCCCTAGTTCCAGTGAAGGGAACTCTTAAGGCAACATTTTGGACAATTTCATGCTCCCAACTTTGTGGGAAGAGTTTGGGGATGGCCCCTTCCTTTTCCAACATGACTGCGCACCAGTGCACAAAGCAAGGTCCATAAAGACATGGAGGAGCCAGTTTGGGGTGGAGGAACTTGACTGTCCTGCACAGAGTCCCTGACCTCAACCCCATAGAACACCTTTGGGATGAATTAGAGCGGAGACTGCGAGCCAGGCCTCCTCCCCCGACATCAGTGCCTGACCTGACAAATGTGCTTCTGGAAGAATGGTCCAACCTTCCCATAGACACCCTCCTAAACCTTGTGGGCGGCCTTCCCAGAAGAGTTGAAGCTGTTATAGCTGCAAAGGGCGGGGCCAACCCAATATTGAACCCTACGGACTAAGACTGGGGGGCCATTAAAGGTCATGTGTGTGGAAAGGGCGGAGCCAACTCAATATTGAACCCTACGGACTAAGACTGGGGGGCCATTAAAGGTCATGTGCGTGGGAAGGCCGGCGGCCAATACTTGGGGCAATATAGTGTATGTCTTTATCAGTCATGCTGCTGCAGCCTTTCTGATATCATCAGGTACAATGGAGGTCTAGTGGTCCATCACTGGGCATGAGAACATTGAAGGCCCAACTCCAGAGCATCAGTTCACATCCATTTTTCATCAGTTTACATCTGTTTTTCATCAGTTTACATCTGTTTTTCATCAGTTTACATTTGTTTTCCATCAGTTTAGACCCGTTTTTTCATCAGCTTACATCTGTTTTTCATCAGTTTACATCCATTTTTTAAAAATCCATTTACATCTGCTAGTCCATAGAAATACATGGGTTCCTGTTTTTCATCCGTAAATGGACAGATGAAAAACAGACATACGGAACGCCCGTGTGAAAGGGGGCCGTAATATCCTCCCAGCAAGCAGCACCAGGTGCAGACTGATTACTGGAGACTACTGGCTGCTAGGAGACACCTGCTGGTGGACACTGGAACTGCAAGCTCCCGCTCTGGGAAGCACAGTGCCACCAGCAGGTGATGCAGGTCCTGATAGGAGGAAGCTTCTTCAATTTTCACCTAGGCAAGAAATACGGAAGTATTCATCGATTTGACCCCAAACTAATCATTATAAAATCAAATGAATATTCTTGAGCAGGGGCGGACTTACCATTTGGGTACTTGGGCACTGCCAAGGGCCTGGGGTCAGTAGGGGCCCCATGAGATGTCCCTGGTACCTTTCATAGGTTTTTCTGGGTGTGGCTTGAGTGTGGGCGAGGACACAGGGGCCCCATGATTTCCTATTGTCCAGGGGCCCCATGAGTTGTCAATCCGCCTCTATGAAAATCTATACGTGTATGTCCAGTCTTAGCAATCGGGTGTCATCAGTTCTGTAAGCCGTTCCTGTCATCAAAGGGGCACCAATGGCAGGTGATGCAGGTCCTGACACCTCCTGGGAGGGAAACGTCCATCAAAGGGGCATCCATGGCAGGTGATGCAGGTCCTGACACCTCCTGGGAGTGAGACTTCCATCAAAGGGGCACCGATGGCAGGTGATGCAGGTCCTGACACCTCCTGGAAGGGAAACTTCCATTAAAGGGGCACTGATGGCAGGTGATGCAGGTCCTGACACCTCCAGGGAGAGAAACTTCCATCAAAGGGGCACCGATGGCAGGTGATGCAGGTCCTGACACCTCCTGGAAGGGAAACTTCCATCAAAGGGGCACCGACGGTAGGTAACCTCATGAGCGGGTAGGGGCTCCGATGGCAGGTGACGCAGGTCCTGACACCTCCTGGAAGGGAAACTTCCATCAAAGGGGCACAGATGGCAGGTGATGTAGGTCCTGACACCTCCTGGAAGGGAAACTTCCATCAGAGGGGCACCTATGGCAGGTGATGCAGGTCCTGACACCTCCTGGAAGAGAAACTTCCATCAGAGGGGCACCTATGGCAGGTGATGCAGGTCCTGACACCTCCTGGAAGGGAAACTTCCATCAAAGGGGCACCGACGGTAGGTAACCCTCATGAGCGGGTAGGGGCTCCGATGGCAGGTGACGCAGGTCCTGACACCTCCTGGAAGGGAAACTTCCATCAAAGGGGCACAGATGGCAGGTGATGTAGGTCCTGACACCTCCTGGAAGGGAAACTTCCGTTAAAGGGGCACCTATGGCAGGTGATGCAGGTCCTGACACCTCCAGGGAGAGAAACTTCCATTAAAGGGGCACTGATGGCAGGTGACGCAGGTCCTGACACCTCCTGGAAGGGAAACTTCCATCAAAGGGGCACCGATGGCAGGGGACGCAGGTCCTGACATCTCCAGGGAGGGAAACTTCCATCAAAGGGGCACCGATGGCAGGTGATGCAGGTCCTGACACCTCTTGGGAGGGAAACTGCCATCAAAGGGGCACCGATGGCAGGTGACGCAGGTCCTGACACCTCCAGGAAGGGAAACCTCCATGAAAGGGGCACCTATGGCAGGTGACGCAGGTCCTGACACCTCCTGGAAGGGAAACTGCCATCAAAGGGGCACCGATGGCAGGTGACGCAGGTCCTGACAGTTCCTGGAAGGGAAACTCCCTTCAAAGGGGAACCGATGGCAGGTGACGCAGGTCCTGACACCTCCTGGAAGGGAAACTCCCTTCAAAGGGAACCGATGGCAGGTGACGCAGGTCCTGACACCTCCCGGGAGGGAAACTTCCATCAAAGGGGCACCTATGGCAGGTGACGCAGGTCCTGACACCTCCCGGAAGGGAAACTTCCATCAAAGGGGCACCGATGGCAGGTGACGCAGGTCCTGACACCTCCTGGAAGGGAAACGTCCATCAAAGGGGCACCAACGGTAGGTAACCTCATGAGCAGGTAGGGGCAGACTGATTGGGCAAGGGCCTGTAAAAATCAACGTTCATCGTTCACAAACACCGACTACCCCCCCTGGCAACACGAATCCTAACCAAATGTTTGTCCCGTCGGTGTAAAAAAACGTCTCTTCCCTCGGCTGACATATGTTCGAGCGGCTCAACGTTCAGATAATGGGGCCACCTGGCAAACTGCGAGGCTGCCATAAAAAAAAAAAAAAAAAAAATCCATAATTTGGTACATATCATATTTATAGCCGCATTAACGCGCCACAATAAAGGCGCGGAGGTGAGCGGGTAATGATTCTGCTCTGCTGTGCTAATACCGGCCGAATGAGGAGGATTTGATGAGTTTTTTACACAATGGCATAAAGAGTTATGGCGGCGAACGGGCGCATCCATCAGCCGGCTGACGGCAGAAAATTAGCAGAAAATATAGCGGCAATATATTTTGGGGAAAAATGCTTACTCCTGCGCCTTTTTAGCAATGCAGATGAGGAGAGCGGATTATTGCATAAATAATGATCAGAGGTTTAAACACACTTCATCTTCCATTCCTACGGCTGTCGCCGTCGTTGTTGCCGCTGCGCTCGCACGTTGAGGATGAGAAGGGGGAGGGGCCGCGCTCTGCTTCCAATAATGAAACTGTTAAAAGCATTAAAGCCCAACACCGGTTTATTCTTTTTCATACAAATTAAAAATTTTTTTTTTAACAAATCGGCTTCTCGATTGACCTACCAGGGCGATTTTTAAAAAATTTTCCACCCATTTTTTTTGTGGCTAGAAAATGAGCGTAAATTCCCAAACGGCGATATGTTTGAGAGAAGCAGAGGCCCCATG